ATCTGTATCTGTATCTGTATCTGTATCTGTATCTGTATCTGTATCTGTATCTTTTTCTATTTATTTCTCTATCTCTGACTGTATCTGTCCGCTGCGCGGTTGGGCGTGGCTAGCTACGCCCCATTATTGTATTTAAAAGTTTCCTTCGTATTTTTCAACCAGAGACCATAGGCGAAGGCAAACTTCCTCAACTGCCATAAATCCATAAATTTGTTCACAATTTATGAACTGAACCGAGTCGTTTTCTTTATATATATATATATATATGTGCACAAATGTATATATAGAGGGTCTATATAAATATATATGAATGCAGAAATCAACTCGAAACAAACCGCCAGAAGTAGTTGCCCAGTCTGAACTGCTGGAGAAGAGCGGAGCAGGGGGGCTGGGCTCCTGGGCGCCATGTCAAAAATGTAGGGCTGTCTCTGTCGCTCCCTCACATTCTCCCTCTCTCTATCTCTGTCTCTGTGTGTACTTGTGTGTGTGTGTGTGTGCTGGCTTGCGTGCCAGGCACGCCTTGACACGGCACGGACAGCCAACCAACCAGCCAGTCAGCCAGTCAGCCATCCATTCAGCCACCAGTCCGAGCGACGAGCGACCAGCTCCCAGCCTATCAGACAGAATGCATTACACGGACGCCGTCCAGGCACCAGGCTCACTCTAGCTTCCACTGCCGCTCACCCGGCCCCCTGCCCGAGGCCCCGCTCTAGGGCAGCTTTCCGGAGCTGCAGTAAACCAATTCGAATTTCAAACTCAATTACAGCACCTGAGGCTTCTTGCCGGACAGCAGGCGGAACCACCCCCAACCACCTAGCCGCCCACCTACAGGCACGCCTCCACCTGTCACTGAAATCCCTCAGCCCTCTCTCCGTCCCCCCTCTCTGTTTAATGGGCATGGCATAGCCGGATGTCGTTCGGCCACTCGCATTATTTTCGATATCGAAAACGAAACTTCCGACAATTCGAGTTGATTTTATAAAAGAAGACCAGGCGTATTAGACACACTAGGAAGGAGGGAGCAGGGGGGCAGGTAGGCCTACCCTCTGCCACCCAGCCATGCCGTGCATTACGACAATTTGAGGCTGAAGGCGAATGTGAATGTGACTGTGACTGTAACTGTGACTGTGACTGCGACTGTGAACGAGGCGCAGTCATTCATTCAATTCATTGACTATGATGAGCACGTTGATAGTGGGTAGTTGGTAGTTGATAGTGGATGAACTCCGTACACCCCCTCTCTTCCATATATGTAGGCGTATGTATATACACCCTCTCAATCAATCGAAAACAACGTTGACAATTCGACAAGTGCGAGATACACACACACAAACACACATACACATGTATGTATGTATGTATGTCTGCCTATCGATTGGCCTGGAGCATGATTAAAGCCTGTCAGACATGCAGCCGAAGCTCGCCCACTCGCCAAGAGCACTTCCCATTTTCTCATTTTCCCACTTCATATATAGTTCGCTTTTCGTATTTCGCATTTATAATTTTACAAGTGCATTTGGGTGTATCATAATACCCACAGCAATAACCTAAGCACACCAAACCAATTTTTACAATAAACTAAAATATTTAATAAGGAAAATCTAGAATAAGGAAATACCCTCTAATGTCAAGGGTTGTCTATGCTGTAGTGTGGTATATCAATATATGGAGAGATAGGCTCTATCGATAGTTAACGGTTTATGTTTGTATTATATGTCAGCGATCCTCTATTAAAACTTGATTGCATCAATCAGCAGCCTTAAGCAAGCAATCAATCAATGAACTCAATAATAGAAGATTCGTCGTCAATGAATCAGTCAACGTCATTCAAATCAATCATAATTAAACTGTTCAGTCTTCATTGCTCGTCTCAGTCAATAATCAATCAGAGAGATCAATCATTCAGATCAATCAACGATCATCATTCGGCACAATCATCTTGCATCAGATCATGGTTCAGCTGAGTCATCTATCCAATCAACTCTCATCAATCGCAACAATCATTTCTAATCTGAGCAATCAACATCAATCGCATCAATCAAACTATCGCAATCAATCAGATGAGGGGCATACAGAGGCACTGTTGCAATGCTAGCCTCTGCCCAATTTAACTACACAATAGGTATCTCGTCTATATGTATATGAGGCACCTTATATTACAAGACTAGAGAGATATACATACATATGTAGGATGTATGCCTCTCCATGCGCATGGAATGTGAAGTGCCATCATCTTGGCTGTTGGCTGTGTGTTTCCGTTGATGCGTCATGACGTCTGCGTGCCCCAAACATAGGCGCCTATATATGCTGCCTGCTGGGGTATGGGGCAGTCCATGACAGTTGGATTCAGATGGGGGTGGACGGTAGACTTTTTTTTTTGTATCATTAAAGAGGCTTTCAGCTGGAGAAACCCGGACGAAGGGGGTTTGCCTTAGATTTATGCACTCCATTTGGAATTGTTCTGTTCCATTTCATTTATGAGTCGACAAAATATAAGCTATAACAGATATAGATATATGTCTGCATATATACGTATGCTAGCTATATAGTTATATAGCCAGTCGAGTCTGAATGCGGGCCTCGCGTGTTGAAATACACAAAAAGAAAGGAAAAATGTTGGATTGCTTTTTAGCTTGAGCAGGTGGAGCTGCAGATGGAAGGGGTTGGGCAGAGCAAGGGCGTGGGCAGGGGCAGGGTCAGGAGGGGGCAGCCGTTGGCCAATGACAGCGCACGCTGATTGCGGGGGTTGTTTTCTGGACTTGGCGCGTGGCGCACACTCTCTGGCCATCTCCCTCTACCCCGTCATATCTCTCTCTCTCACTCGCTCTCTCTCTGTGTGCCGCAATTTGAAATACTTTCCATTTTGTTGCCCAGCTCTAGCCGCCAGTCGCCAGCCACCCGCCTCCTGCCCCCTCCTGCTCGAGTGGGAGGGCGCCGCGGCACGCGATGTCCTTTCCGGTCGACGTAGTTTCCTTTTACATGTGCTCTGTGCGAAGCGCATATCAGGTGGGTGGGGCGGGCTGGGCTTACCGGCCCAACTGCTCGCCATCTACTCCATTTTGTATACCCTGGACAGCTAGATTGAAGGGAATATCGAAAAGAAACTATGAGGGATCAGGGAAGGAAGCTGAAATGAACTAGTCAGTGGCAATTGATATTGAGATAACAATGAACTAGTTACGGAAGTGAACTAGCTCATGAACTATGGCATCTATTGAGGTATTCAGAATGAACTGGCTGCAAAAGTGAACTGAATTGGTACTAATGAATAATGAACTAGTTCTGAAAATGAGCGGAGCTAGCCAAGTGAACAATGAACCACATGATTTCAGTAAATAAGTTTATGAATCTATTAAACTAATTGAACTGAGTATGCCCAAAGTTAACTAATGAACCAGAGTCAGAGTTATTCTAATGAATAATAAACTAGTTCTGAAAACAAGCTGAACTGGCCAAGTGAACAATGAACCACATGATTTCAGTAAATACGTTTATGGATCTATTAAACTGAGTGTGCTCAAAGTTAATTAGTGAACCAGAGTCAGAGCTCAAACTCCCAAGCTCTTAAATATTTGTTACTCACTCTGTGCAGCTTGCATTTGATGGGTATCTGCTAGTCGTTCATTGCCCGCTGTTGCACTGCTGCCTCTCGTTTCTTTTTGTATTTTAGTTTCTGTCCAAATCGTCTGTTCGTGACTGCCTACAAAACGACGCATAATTTGTGCCACTGCCGCTGTCCGGGTCCGTGTCCGTGTCCGTATTCGTATCCGTGTCTCTGTCCACGGTGTCCCCTGCTCGCCCTTTAGGAGCTCTGCCGCAGTGCCGTGCCGTGACGTGTTCGCTGCAAATTGCCTGTTAACTTGGCTTCGCATGTTGCCAACTTTAATTGCGACTGGTCAAAAAGTTCTTCAGCTTCTGAGTGGCTCGACCAGGCCAGAACCAGCCGGGGTAGCACCTCACCTGACCACGCCACTAGCCAATCAGCCGCCGTTGCACTCGCCTAAGCAACCCCCAAGCCCTCTGCGCCTTGACCAATCAGCTACACCTCTCAAGCGAAAGACCTTTCTAATGAATGAAATATAGGTATACAATGTACACGACAATATAAATAGATTATTAGTTCCAGGGTAGCTGCTAGTCGAGCATACCCCACTTACCTCTTACCCTAGTTAAATATAAGTATTTAGCACACACATACCATATCTCACAACTCTCTCTAATAAAGACAATGCTCATCTATATAACATCTCTCTTCTCTCGTTCTCTTTCTCGCTCTCTCTTGACCGCCTGCGTATGCTTGTCTCTTTCTAATTGATGCAGCGATCGCTTTCCGTACTACAAGTCGAACGATGATCGCTGGAAGAACTCGGTGCGGCACAATCTCTCGATCAATCCGCACTTTCGCAAGGGCGTGAAGGCGCCGCAGGGCGCTGGCCATCTGTGGGCCATATCCAGCGGCGACTCGGCGGAGAATGTGTTGGCCTGGGAGCATGTAAGCAACACACACACACACACACACACACACGCACCAGCAGCTTTGCTCACTTTGAATTTGTTTGGATTGCAGAAAAAGCAACGCTTGGATCTGTTCTTCAAGATGGAGTCGATCAATCGCGAGCGCATCCAACAGCATCAGCAGCAGATGCAGCAGCAGCAACAGCAACAGCAGCAGCAACAGCAACAACAGCAACAGCAATTGCAGCAGCAGCAACAGTTGCAGCAACATCATTCGCACTCGCCGCAGCAGCAATCGGCTAATTGCATCTACGATGAGGCAGCTGTTGCTGCCGCTACTCTCACCCACGAAATGCTGCAGCAGACGCAGAGCGAAGCGTCGCCCACATCGCATTCGCACTCGCATTCGCATTCACATTCGCAGCGCCTGTTGCCGTTCAGCGATCTGCTGAGCGACGATGAGCTGCGCAAGACGGCAGGACAGATCCTCAATGGGATCCACCGCGAGGTGGAGGTGCAGTCGGTCAACTCCATCATCAGCACCTACCAGGATGTGCTGCTCGACAATGGTGAGTAGCAGTTGGATTGATTGATTGACTGATGGCGTGACAATGTGACGATGGCTGTATGATTGAGTGGGTGATTGACTCACAGTGATTCGATTATTGAGAAACGGATCCAATCCGTGAGGTATTCATAATGATTGATGGGGTGATTGAGTGGTGATTGATCGATTGATTGATTGATGATTTATTGGGTTGAGTTAGGTTGTTAATTGACTGGGAGGTACTCAAGAAGATCGACGGTGATTGATTGATGGGCAGGTACTGAAGATTGACGGTAATTGATTGATTGTCTGATTGATTGATAGCTTGATAAGGTGGTGGATTAATGGGCAGGTACTAAAGACGGATCGATTATTAATAGGTTAGATTAATAGATATAATTGAATGCGTTGAGCTAGGTTGTTGATTGATGCGCAGTTCAGAAGTATGCGTGATTGACTGACTGATGACATGATTGAATGGGGTGATCGATTATACAATGTGTGAGTGAATATATGATTGATCGATCAAGGCATTGATTGACTCACCGATTAATTACTGAAGTGGTTCATTCAATGAACCATTGAATAAATGATTAGAGGGGTATTAATAGTGCATTTTCTTGATTCAGTTAGTGATTCCTTCACTGATTGACTGCTTGATTGATGGAGTGAGGTGCGGGTATTCTGATTTCGTCTTGACTGACTGATTGACTAATTCGTTGCGTGACTGATTGCTTGATTGATGGCTTTCTTTCTTCCAGAAGACTATCTCAATCCCATACACAAAGACGTCGTCGTCACGGAGAGTGGACTGCGCCAGCATCAGCATCAGCAACATCACCAACAGCAGCAACACCAACAGCATCAACAGCATCAACAGCAGCAGCAGCAGCAACAGCAGAGCGGGAGCAGCAGCAACCTGCTTGCAGGCAGCCTCGCCCAATCGCAGTACTACATCACAGAGATCGATCCCATGGAGCTGGGCATACAGATGTCCCACCAGGTAGAGCCGTCCGAGGAGGAGGTGCTATTCAGCGACGACTTCAATCTCAATTACTTTGGCTACAATCCGGGCAGCGACATCGTCGCTTGACCGCGCAAGCAACAGTTGCTCGCACAGCAGCAGCAGCAGCAGCAGCAGCAATCAGAGCAATCGAAATACTCATAAGCCAATACTCAACCAATACTAGTCACAGCTAACCTAATCCTATCCAAAACTAACCACCTAAGCCAGCAAATACGAAAGATAGTCCCCTCAAGTCCCCACAAGTCTCCATTATCCAAATAAATCCCATGTATAGTTCTAGTCTTCAATTGTACCAATCCAAAAACAAAAACTCAAAAAAGAACATTTTTTTTTTCTTCTAATCTAATTTATAACTAGGTAAGAGTAGCCTCTAAGACAAGGAGATCAATCGAGTCCAAAATTTGAAAGCCCCATAATTAAGAGTTTTTACTAGTAGCTGATATACAACATCTAAATATACAAATATATAAATATTTATAACCACACCTACTTAGATCCTTATGAACTAACCAACTATTTTACATAGAGTCCCGTCTGCTAGGCGTTTAGTCCAAATGCTAATCATAGTTCGTATCGAATATTTTGTTTTAACTAATCCCATGTAGCATAACGGCACTTACTCGTACAACCGGTATACACATCTATGTATATCTATATATAAATAATTTATCAATTATGGCAAATATATATATATACCTAATTTTTTTTTATTTACATTTAAATGACAAAAGTTTTATTTATGAAGTTGGGATGGGGTCTATGAAAAGTTTTTAAATCTGATTGGATTACATCTTTTATATACCACGGGAATATCTTTTATCCAAATACAGCCTCGTCCAGGTTTTCAGATAGCTCAAGAGTCATCCTTGTATAAGGAATATCTTCTAGCGAATATACAAGGAATATCCTTTTCTATATCGATATCAATCCATGCCTATACATGTATCCCTATATCTATATGTGCTATCGTACTCAGCTTATAAAATCTCCATTTCACTGCCCCTTAATATCATCTAATCAGATATGGACTTGATGTATCACATCAAGAGTTAAGGAAATCAACAGCAAATTTTTGGATGTTTTATAAAACTCTTTATTTTCTTTGTATGTATATCAATTAAACTTTTTTGTAGCTTACTTTCGACTTAAACGTTAAATATATTTGTGGATATAAACTGTCTTGCGCAATGTTCGTACGTTCATATGGAACAGAAAAAAAAATATATATATATTAGCTATACATGCATACACATACATATTTATATTCATCTGTGTGTGTCAGCATCGATATAATATAATTATGAAGTCGTTAAATATTGAAATCTATTTATATATATATGCTCGTATCCCTCCATTGTACATAGAGAGTAAATATGTTACCAATCATACATACTTCGATCTATGACAAGCAGAGAGACGTACAACGCTCGTACGGTTTAAAAATATATCTTTTCATATAGACTTCCGGTTGCTTGCCCATTATGTATTGATACATCAGTCGAGTCCGCGATTGGGAAATCGTTGATGTAGATATATATAAATATATATATTGTTAGATACGTTGAATTTACAGTGGTGAGTTCCGATTCACTCTACTTATATTAAGAAATTGTCATCCATGTCAAAGATCGTCGTCCCGCCTCGCCTTCTACCTCTCCCCCACGGATTGAGCATCAGCCAGGGATCGACTCTAATCGTCACTTTCCTCGAATGTGGGACTGCTCGGCGAATACGCCGGACTCGTCGGACTGTAGTGCGAGGGCGCTGTCGGCGAGTACATGGGCGACGTGGGCGAATAGTTTCGCGCCGTCGGCGTGTACGTGGGCGACGTGGGTGAATATTTGGTGCTGCTCGGCGAATAGATGGACATGTTGGGGGAATATCGTGGACTTGTCGCTGAATAGGTCGAGCCAGTCGGACTGTATTGGTTCGACGGCGAGTGCTGCGGCGAACTGGGCGAATACAGCGGCGAAGTGGGTGAATATTTGGGCGAGGCTGGCGAATATTGCGGCGAGCCTGGCGTGTACTGCGGCGAACCTGGCGAGCCGTCGTATGACGGTGAGGGCGGCGAATATGTTGGCGATGTCGGCGAATATTTGACGCCTGTCTGTGAGTACGCCGGCGATGCCGGCGAGTAATGTGGCGACGCCGAGTAGTTGGGTGACGTCGGGGAATACGAGGGCGTGACAGGCGTGTAGTTCGGCGATGTCGGCGAGTACGAAGGCGAAGTCGGCGAGTAACAGGGCGACGTGGGCGAATACGAGGGACTTGACGGCGAATACGACGGCGACATTGGCGAATAAGACGGTGAATTGGGCGAGTAATTTGACGAGCTCGGCGAATACGCATTGCCAGGCGAATACATGTTGCTGCCGCTTCCCGCAAACGACGGACTTGACTGGAAATTCGACGTGGGTGAATACACAGGTGACGTGGGCGAGTAGCCCGACGACGAAGGCGAATATCCTGTCGATTGGGGGTTGAAGTTGGGCGTGGTCGAGGCGTACCGGGGACTTGTCGACGCATAGAGCGGCGATGTGGGCGAATAATTGGGGCTCGACGGTGAATAATTGGGTGAGGCGCCGCCCGGCGACGAAGCCGTATAGTTGGGAGACGTAGGCGAATACGATGGAGAAACGCTGGGCGACGCTGGGAAATAGGGCGACATCGACGGACCCGGCGAGCTGGGCGAAGAGCCCGGATGTGCCGGCGACCAGCTGGGCGACATGCCAGAGGCGTCCGAAGCGGCCGAGGGCGAGAAACTGGGTCCACCCGGCGTCATGCCGCTTACTGCAAAATAGAAAGAGAGAGTAGAATAAGTATATAACATAGAGCGAGAGAGAGAGACACTTACCATGCCCGGATGGCGAAAAGTAACGTGGCGTATGGCAATTCACCCACGGCGTCATTGGCGGCGTCATACTTGGCGTGGAGCCACCGCCCATAAAGATGGCGGCACCGCCCAGCATGCTGCTGCCTAGGGAATTGGGAATCTCAATGCCAAAGCGACACTTCTCCGCGTCCAGCAAGAGGTCAAAGCAACCAGTGCCCATTTTGGGCAATTGGCCCATGATGATGTTCTCGGAGACACCGCGCATAGGATCGGTCTCGGCGTGCGCAGCTGCATCCATCAACACGTCCACAGTCTCCTCGAAGGAGCAACGCATAAGGGCGCCCGTATCCTGCCGATTGATGCCGTGTCTCGTGATGGCCATCAAGTGGCCCTTGGCCGTCATCACATCGCAGAGCAGGGCCAGATGACGATAGTTCACGTAGAGGCCATAAAACTGTAGCACAGCGTTCATCTCCTTCTCCACGGACTTTCGCACGGCTTCAATGCCCAGCACTTGGAAGATCTCGCAAATATCATTGGAGGATGTGCGTATGGGATCGACATCCCGCTCCGACAGCACCTTCATCATGGACGTGCCGTCCGTTTCCAGCAGCCATTCGCCGATGGCCTTGAACTCGCCCGTCTCGGTGATAACGATTCGCTTCTTGCTGTCCGTCTGGGGCAGATGCATGTAGACCTTGCCAATCGCCTCAATGCCCTGCAGTGTCATGTCGGACAGCATGTTCGCCTCGATGCAGCGCAGGAACATGTCGTCCTCCATTTTGTCGACCGCCTCGTCCTCGTCCTGGAACTTGTTCTCCTCGTTGTTCATGATGCGGATGCGCAGCACCAGCTTGTCCGCATTGTCGTCATTGAAGATACAGTTCAGATCCTCGCCGAAGCCCACGTTGATCTTCTCGGCAATCTGTTCCATGGTCAGCTTCTTATCCGTCATGCGCTTGCGGTCGAGCTCGATGCGCAGCAGCCAGGGGGAGATGCGCGTCGGATCAAAGTCGGGCATTTCATAGTAGACATTGACGAACTCCTGATCCTCCGCAATGACCGTCCGCTGCGGGTCCGGATCGTAGTAAATGGCCGTGTTGGCTGTTACCTTGCGCAGCGTCGTATGCTCCAGACGGCACAGCACATTCTTTGCCTTCTCCGCGTCGCGCGCGGCGCCGCCGGTGAGGAAAACTGTGAGAGACGGCGCCTTTGGCTTCTTCGATATGTTGATGATCTCCTTGAGACGCGGTACGCCCAGGGTTACGTTCTTCGAGGACACACCGGCGAAATGGAAAGTGTTCAGTGTCATCTGCGTGGCCGGCTCGCCCAAACTCTGAGCAGCCAAGGCGCCCACCATTTCGCCAGGATTTGCCTGGGCCTGCTGGAAGCGTGTCTCGATCTCACCGATCAGCCACTCGAACGCCTCTGTCGACAGGCGGAACTCCTCGGAGACGTACTTGGTGCACAATGTCGAGCGGATGAGGCACTGGAAGAGCAGCGTGGCATTCTCGTTGGCCTGCTTGGAGATGCGATCGTTGCCCGTCACAATGACACAGCGTTCCAGCAATCCCTTGACGCCTCTGATCACACGCATCGGCGACAGATCCGTGGGCAGGCGCTTGTTGATGTGAAAGATCTTCTGCACATTCCAGATCATGCGCTGCAGGTTGCACGGCAGCACCACCTTTGAGTCGCCATTGGGAAAGATGGTACGCAGATTATCGCGATCGCTGACTAGGCGATCCCATTCGGACTCCAACTCCTGGATGGCATCGCTGCTATCGGTCATCTCCTTGATGACGTCGTCTGTGAACACCTTGCGCATGTACCGCTCATTGGACCAATCGAACTTGAAGCGCTTCTCAAAGACCTTGTTGGAGAGCTTCACTGTGGGCATATTTTGGAACTCGACCAGCTCGCCGCAGAGGCCGTCCTCGCCGTAACGCAACTGAATCAGCTGACCGACCGAGTTACGCACGGTGCCATCGTAGTTGACCATCACCGACTCCATAGCCTTGATGAGACGACGCTGGATGTAGCCAGTTTCAGCTGTCTTCACAGCCGTATCAATCAAACCTTCTCTGCCGCCCATGGCGTGGAAGTAGAACTCGGACGGTGTCAAGCCGGCCAGGTACGAGTTCTCCACAAAGCCCCTGGACTCTGGACCATAATCGTCCTTGATGAAATGCGGCAGAGTGCGCTTGCGGAAGCCATACGGTATGCGCTTGCCCTCCACGTTCTGCTGGCCCACACAAGCAATAACCTAGACGGGGATACACAAGGGGATTAGATTCATGCACAGACTGCAGAGCCTCGCGCCTCCGCGCTTACCTGTGAGATGTTAATGTTGGAGCCCTTCGAGCCGGACACCACCATAGCCTTTAGATTGTTGTATTCCGTGAGGGACTTCTTGGCCGATCCACCAGTCTTGTCACGAGCATCGTTCAATATGCGATTCACTTTGTTCTCGAAGGTCTGTCGCAGCGTGTTGCCGGGCGTGGGCTCCAGCTCCATGTTGTGGGCCTTTTGGATGACGTTGATGACATCGTCCTTGGCCTTCTTGATGGCCATTTGGATTTCGTTGTAGGTCTGCGGATCGGCAATGGTGTCGCCAATGCCAATGCTGTGGCCCTCGAGCAGCAGCCAGTTGTTGATCACCGTTTGGATGTTGCCGTAGAAGCGTCCGGCAATGTCGTGACCCAGTTCAAGGAAACAGATATGCAACAGGGAGCCGGCCGATGTGCCGAGCGTCTTCTTGCAGAGAATGCCCATTATGAGGTCGCCGTGCTCTACCATGACCTTTGTGTCACCGGGCGATATCCACTTGTACGGTCCGTCGTCCTCCTCGTCTGGATGCGTTGAGTGCGTGCGTATCATGTTCACGTTGCCGGGTATGATCAACGAGAAGATCTGCTTGCCTGTCCACAGCGGACGCGGCTTCAATATACACGGCTGCGGCATCTTGCCATCCCACGTGGGCAGGAACATCAGCAGATTCATCACCTGCTCCCGCGTGATGAACACATCTCGTTTCGTCATCTTACGGACGGCGGTCAGTGTATCCTGCACAATGCCCATGACGGGTTTGTTGGCCTGCGGCGTAATAATCTGTCGCGGAGTTATGTGAATATTCTCGACTTCAGCGCGCGTTTCCATGGATTGGGGGACATGAAGATTCATCTCGTCGCCGTCAAAATCGGCATTGTAGGGCGATGTACAGGACAGATTCATGCGAAACGTGGACCAGGGCAGCACCTTCACTCTGTGACCCATCATACTCATCTTGTGCAGCGTCGGCTGACGATTGAAGATGACCAGGTCGTCGTCTCGCAAATGTCGCTCCACCTTGTAGCCGCACTGCAAATGGAGGTCCGAGGACTTTGGGTGGAAACGCAAATCAATACGCTCTCCGTTGTCGCGCACAATGTATTTGGCGCCCGGATATTGGGAATTGCCGCGACGCACTAGCTCCTGCATGCGATCGATGTTGAATGGCGTCACCAGCTCCGGGAAGGTTAGGTTCTGTGCTATCGAACGTGGCACGCCGACCTGGTCGATGCGCAAATTGGGATCGGGCGTGATGACAGTCCGTGCAGAGAAGTCGACACGCTTTCCCATCAAATTACCACGGATACGCCCCTCCTTGCCCTTGAGACGTGCCTTGATCGCTTTCAGCGGCTTGCCCGACTTCTGCATCGCACGCGGCATGCCGGGCATATCGTTGTCAACCAGCGTTGCCACGTGGAACTGCAGCATCTTAATATTCTCCTGTATGACATGAGCCGCAGCGCCGCTTGCCTCGTTCTTGCGCAGCTCATTGTTGGCCTTGATGATGTCCGCCAACTTGTGGGTCAAATCGTCCTGGTTCTTGGCTGCACCGAACATAACAACAGCCGGACGCACGGCTAGAGGAGGCACTGGCAGCACGGTGACAATCATCCAATCGGGTCGAGCATACTTCGGGTCCATGCCCAGAATGAAGCACTCTTCGTCAGTGATATGCTTGAGGATCTCCCAGACACGCTCCGCGGAGACGATGATCTTCTTCTCCTGCGAGTCCTCATTGACGTGTTTCCATTCGGCCGTCAAGTCCAGTCCAGTGCGCCGGATCGATGGCTGATAGTGACCGCAGCCGCCGTGGCCTGGCTTCTTGTTCGGATCCACTTGCTGATTGTCTTTGGTCATGTCCATATCCTCGCCGCCCTCGCAAATCGTTTTGCCTTTGCACAGGTCGTAAACGTAAGCCAAACGTTTCCGTGGCTGACCTTTTGACTTCATGACAATCTCTTTGATCTTGGGATTATGTGGAGAGACTAACATCTTGGAGCAGTAGAAACAAACGCAGCGCAGGATTTTGATGGTCTTCGTTATGAATCCGATGTGAAAGACGGGCTTAGCTAAATCTATGTGCCCAAAATGTCCCGGACACTCGGTCATATTACCCGCGCACGTCTGACAACGTGACGTCCGATCAATTACACCCTGGCGTGGATCCATCAAGCCGCCAAGCTTTGGCCGACCGCCCTCTAGGGTCTCAGCGAACTGAACGCCGCCCTCCGTCACAGACATTCGGCGCTAAAGTTAAGCAAGAATGTAAGCATTAGACTAGATCCCGCCGAGAGAAAGATAAATAGCTAAGAAATGTGATGACCATAGGACAGCATTGGTAATGGTTTCAGTATAGTTCAAAGATAATCCATAGGCGCTAACTGTACTCCTACCCATTGTTGAAATTGATTTTAGTATTTTCTCAATATACTACTATTTGTAGTATTTCCCCCATACAACAGGTAGTTTTAGTACTGGTGATAATAAACAGACGCAGGATATATGGATTAGAACAATATATGTATGGAAAATATATAGGACGGCATTGTTAATGGTTTCAGTATAGTTCAAAGATAATCCAAAGACGCTTACTGTACTCCTACCCATTGTTGAAATTGATTTTAGTATTTAAACAATATACTACTTTTTGTAGTATTTTCCCCATGATTCATACAACAGGTAGTATTAGTACTGGTGATAATGGACAGACGCAGGATATATGGATTCGATCAGAATATATATGAAGCACATTGATTCGGACGGCTGTTAGCCAATGTATTACATATGAATGCATAACCATAGAATTGAAGGGAATGTTTAGGAATTCACATTTGGTTTGAATTTCGGATAAGGATAAGGGATTCAGCTTTGGCGCCTTCATCTCTTGCTGAGTGAATCATTGGCGAACTGTAGCTTGATTATTCGACAGCGACAATTGATTTTCAATATGGCGTCGATTTCACATTTCGCATTCGACCTTTCTTTTAATTTGCGGCTACTTACTATTTCATCAGGTGATAAAATGCCAAACTGTACGCGTTTCACTTGGCGCAAAGGCGCCTTCGAGTCCGTCGTGGTGCTCATATTGCCTTGCTACGGGAAACTCTTTCAAGTGTCGCGATTATCCGCTACTGTGAAAAACTGCTGAAGAACGTTTTGCACGCGTGACAAAGCCAGCGAACGTACAGCGTAAATGGATAGCCACACGCGTCTTGTTTTGGCGGCGATAAATTCAAATTAAGTGTTGGTGGTTGTTTATTGTGTTCAACGCATGTTTTACAATCCTAATATTACAACTGAACGCACGAAATGGAGTTTTGTGCTATATCCGCGGTTTTCCACATGTAGACGCGAGGCAATGCAGTCCGTACAGCGCACTAAAAAAATGATAGTGGGTGTTCATTTCGTTATCAATGCAACTCTGCGTTTTTTCATCTCTTCGTGCGATAGTGGACATCGATGGTAATTTTCGCGGGAAAACAGATAACAGAATGTTGACGTTTCTTATCCTTATCCTTTACTGATATCACAATTTTTTTTTTAATATCGTTTTAGAGGTGCAACTGCAATAAGAGAGACAAAAGAGTAATTAGCAATATTTATTTTGCAAACGATAGTTGGTTGACGATATTTAATATTGGTGTCGTTAATAATTAATTTAATTAATTGAATATAGTAGTACGATTTTAAGTAAATTTTGATTAATTTTATACCAAAAAATAAATAATTTTATAAAAAATAATAATTAAATCTCAATCAGATATATGTATGTAACTATCGCTTACATTCCCAGAATATGCAACGAAACGATAGTTACACGAAACGTACTGATATATCGCTTGTGCCATAACTTTCACAACTTACGGTTACGACAACAATAAAAAATAATAATCAAAATAAGCAAAAGGGTTAAACAATGAGCGAAGCCGGCTCTGCCGTAGATGCAGTCGCTGCGGAAAAGAAGCGCAAGTTTCGCATTCAAGGTAAATTAAGAAACAAACCAATTGAATTGATACTCACTTAACGTTGTTGTTTAGCGGCTGCATTCATGGGCCTCGTCGGCGGAATTTCCGCGTTGTTTGGATTCTCTCGCACGCTGGCCACGGCCAAGAAGTCGGACAGCAAAGTGCTCCAGCAGCAAGCCACCAAACAAGGCATGATTCTCATGGACGAAGGCACAACGCTGGCAATGCGAGCCCTTGGCTGGGGCACGTTGTATGCTGTATTGGGTACTGGAGCATTTTGCTACGGATTTTGGAAGCTGAGTGGTGCCAAGGATGTAACTATTGCACTAGTAATGACACATCGCGATGATTAGCGCTTATAATTGTAATGTCTTGCAGTTTGACGAGTTCCGCTTGAAGATGGGCAACGCTTTGCCGCGAATTAGCAAAGATGAGCCAGCTAACAGTCGCACGGACTTCGAAAGCCTTACCGATCTGATGAAATATCTGGCTGCCTGGAACAAGGAGTAAACCCATACACACACGCAAACACTGTAGAATAAATGCCAATCGTACAACTCATATTAGTTTGAAGTTTATATTCGACTTGCATCTAAAAAGCATATCGTTACAATCATTAGGGACGATGGGATATCGATATACCCGCATACACTAGGAGGATAAACATCGATGATTTTCAGTTATATTACAATTTATTTATGCGTCACACAAAGTATCTCTACATATTGTATTTTCTTATGGATATATCATTAGCCAAGGCTTCTGATATGCAATTCTGTTGTTTTTGTAGTTCATCGAACTGGCAGCAGTTCTTTAAATTCTCCTGCAGGTCCTGCATCATCTCATATTGCCGAATAAACGCGTTGCCATCATCCATGAAGCTACTAAAGCCCCGTATGAAATTCTGCAAACTTGGTCCTTTACTTAGATAGGCTTTCTGCTCTTCGTTCGGCTTGTACTCGGATTCCAGAGCCTTCCCTTCAATTGGTTTTTGCAAGATTTTGGTGGCGAAGGATTCCCACTGCTGCTTCTCCTGCGCAACGCTCGCGACATAAGCATCCACATCTGTGCTGGCGCATTCACAAGTGGATTCAGCTACAAAAGTAAAAACACAGGCTAGAAAATTGAAATCTAAAGCAATTTATTTTGATATACCATCAGCTAGGTCGAGCGTTGTATTGAATATGCTTCTCTTCTCGTCGTAGACCGGTTTCGATGTTATTGTCTTGTGCAGCTTGTCCACAACATCGTCCACATCAATATCCGATATATCATCCACATCACTTAAGTACACAGGAGGTGGATTTTCGCTCTTTTCCTGGACTATTGATATATTTGACTCCGCTTCCATGTTCAAAATAAGACGCCAAGAGCTGCAACAGTGGTAAGGTAACGCTAAGGATTGTCGGTGCGACTATGACGTCACAAAAAGAGAGTTGAGCGTCATGCGTGACACGAGTAGGCACGAAAAAGAAAGGAAAGAAACGATTAAAATTTATGCAATTAGACAAACAAGTTCGGCAAGTCGAAATGAGCACAGACAGAAATTACAAACTTAAAAAACAGCATATTTCGTAACTTTTTGATAAAATATTTATTTCCTTTTTTGCGCCAAATTCGATCAAATCGAATCGCAATTGTCTCTTGAAGAAAGAAAATTAATCGATAGTTATCTATGTTCAACAGTTCACAGCACTGAAACAGAGCGGGCTTTTCGTTTAGCGTTTGAAAAGTGAAATCGGCTGGAGTCAAGTTTACGTTGTTTTAGTTGTATATTTTGTTGTATTCGGAGCAGTTGTGTGGGGCTCACTAGAAACAGTGCTTTCACAAAAACAGAGGCGTGCTCCGAAATTTCGAAATTCTAGAAATAAGAATATATTCTTCACAAATTTCCGTGTAGCCGCGATAAAGTACCTTCAAACCGTGTAAAAAGAAACTAACAAAAACTACCGTAAATATTGCTTTACATTCATATAGGTGTACAAAGAAATTTTGGAAGGATGATCTACGAATTGCTTATAATGACCATTGGCTGGCTCTATCCAGCATTCGCGACATATAATTGTATCAATGGGAATATTCGCTGTCAAATACCGTGGATGAAGTATTGGATCGTGTTTGGCCTATTCAACGCCTTCCACTATTTCACCGCCTGTCTGGAGCCGTGGGTGCCCTTCCTGTGCGGCTTCAAGCTGTTCCTACTCTTCTGGCTGTTGCCCAACATCGGCAGCGGCTGCCAACTGATTTACGACGAGATCGTCGATCCGCTGCTGAAAATCAACAAGGAGGTGATCAACCACGCTGTGGACAGCATCTCCGCCGTGAGCAGCTCAATGATGCGCGAGCTGATCAAGATGGTATACCACCTGATGGTGGACGTGGTCGAGCAGTGCTGGCTAATGACCCGCTATGCGAGCGACACCAATGTGACGCCGCGTCTGCAGACGGCCATCAATGAGGTAATTGGCGAGTTGCGTGCGGCCCGACAGGCCGCCATATTTCTGCCTGATTCGATACTTCAGCTGCCACTGGAGGGGACCCTGTCAATAGCTGGCGCTCCAAGCGCCTTCCGTGCAGCTGCATCTGTCGAGGATTTGCCCAATGATCTGTCCTCGCTGAGCGTCCTGCTGGCCGAGTCTCTCGCAGCAGAGCGCATGCAGCTGCTGCAGTTGGTCGATAGCCAGATGCACCTGGTGTCCAGTAAGTACACCTTTGACAAGCCACAAGCAATCACTATGCCGGAGCGTCCGCCCAAGCCAAAACGTGGTAAGCGCAAGAGCCTGGATGCCGCCGCCGCAGCTCAAAGGGCCCAGCAGTTGGAGCAGGAGCTGGAGGTGGAACGGGCCTATCAGGAATATTGCGCAGCAGCCAAGGAGTGCGACCGTGAGCACGAGCACTAGCAACGCGGAGGCGACAAAGTAGCTGAACAACATCGATAGCCCTTCACATAGTTTTCTGCGTCTTTAACGAGTTTCTTAAGGATTCCAAGAGAAATAGAATAAAATATATTTAAAGAATAACTTAAGCTGTTGAAATGTGCTGGCGGGGATGGGCCTGTAGCCGCCGGCGCAGGCGTGGGTACTGCTAGGCAGCCGACTTTCGCTCCATGTCCCGGTCCCGGTCCTTGATACGTTCCTTCTCTCGCTCTCGCTCCCGCTTTACAGTGGGCAAACGCGTCCAGATGTAGCCGCCCGATCTATGGTAGTCATCGATGTCGGGCAGTGGGAAGGGCGTGGTGCAGTCGTAGTAGTAGTTGCTAGGCGCGTGCATCACGAACTCCAGATAGCAGAGCTTGCGCGACAACTCCTCATCGGGGCCTGGAATCGAGGAGAAAATTTAGTTTGCTTTCACACTGAGATTGGGATTCAGAGATTCGCTCACCTATTAGGTAGGTGGCTGGATCGAAGCCCTCTTGAGGGTCGGGGCTGTCCTGCGTGGGTATTAGCCAGGTGAGAAACGCCGACTTCTCGCAGTAGGCGTCCACGAGCAGTCCTCGGATCTGGGCGTAGTAGACGTTACGTTCGCTATCCACAATGCTCACAATGTCGCCGATCTGCATGTAGCTGCCCTTGTAGAAGACACTCTTGACGTATTGCATCGAGGCTTGGACTCGCGGCGTTTTCTGCGCGGGCCGCTTGAACAGGGAGCGCCGATTCCGTGGTCCGCCTCCACCCGCACCTCCAGCGGAGCTGCCTACAGCGCCGCCCAAGCCCGCCTTGCCGTGCGACTTGCCTGCACCACCTGCATTCGGCGCATAGCCTGAGCCTGCACCAGTCCCAGCTCCACTTCCATTCAGCTGTCCATTGTGGTGGCTGTTGGCGCCCGCTGCACCGCCATTTGGATTGTTGCTGCGCCCTTGGAGCTTCGCTTTAAAACGTGTGCTCCGAGTGCTCTTGCGCAACCTTTTGATTATTGTGGGCGAACGAGCGCCATTTAGGCTGCTCCTGGTGACTTTGGCTGGCCGTGCGGGGGCGTGGCAAGTCGTCGCCATCTTGGACGTACTAAGATTCAAGTCGCCTTCTGCTTCCATCTCAGTAGTCACTGCCGCTGCATCCTCTTCCGCCTGTGTTTTCGCGTTCATTGGCTGCGTCTCGGGCTCCAGGGTGGGCTGCTCCGCCTGGGAACTTTTCTGCTCCCCTTTGCCCGGCTGCTCAGGCTTATTTGGCTGCAGCTGCTGGTCTTTTGGTTTTGCTTTAGACCCTTTGCCATTGCCTGCTTGCTGCTCCAACGCGTCCAGGTCATCAAGTATCTCTGTTGTGGTTAAATCTGCTTCAATTTGCATTTTCACAATTCGATCCGTTGCTTTTCCTGCAATTTCCACGACTGTAAAGTTCTCACTTTGTGACAGTTTAGAGACGGCATCTGTCAGTGCACTCTCCTTGCATTTGTTTATCAGCGTCTCGCAATCAAGTGCTGTTGCCATTGTTTTAACTCAGCAACACATATAAAGACCTCCAGTCTTCAGAAATTATTTGTTTATTTAAAAATTTCAATTCGTTTACTCTTCTGCAAACGCCAATGTTATGCTCAATTGGACTGGTAATGCTCAAATGAGCTGTTAATGCAACTCTGGGCATCAAAGGTGCCATCCTGAGTAATGAATAATTGTAGTTGTTTTATGAATGCATGTTTAAGAATTATAGTTGCATATCAACGTTTTGTTTTTTTGTTGAAATTGTAGTTGCATTAAAAAGACCAGAATATAGTAATGTAATTTATCACCTGTGAGAGGTAACCGCCGCAACAGTGTACGCATTTTTGCGTCATGGTACCGCGTTAATAACAGTGCGCTGTTCCCGCTTAACAGTCGTTTTTTTGCTGAGAATCTGGAACAAATTGGAGTGAATTGAATTAGTCAAAATACAACTTGCATTTATCTACATACTTTGTACTTTTGAAATGCTTCCAATTGTAGACTTTATTAGCGTTGCCGTGCTCGTACAGCGTAAAAGCGACACTGTTAACGCGATTTAGAGACGCGTAGCTGACTGAGTCGATGACAGCGCGCAAGTTGCGCTTATCGCTATCGATCAAGAATCATGAGCAAGTGCGGGCACCACTCCACCTATCATTGTATATTCTGTTTTATAGCTGACAGGTCGTGTGCGCAGAATCCGTCGGTACAATTTGAACTTTTTTTTTTTAGTGCGCGCGTGCCACGATTTACTATTGCACACACACACGCACACACATACATACATACACAGTCACAAAATAAAAACACAAATTTTTGGTTTTTTTTTTGCAAGTGCGCGATTTAATAATTAAATTTTTGATTTCTATACCTAACTGTGAATACACACACACTGACATATAGATATATGCACAGTGAGAGTTTTTTACAACTGCAAAAACATCAACAACAGCAACGAAACGCATGAAATGTAGCAGAATTCTTCTAATGTGTGTGACGAAGTGACGTAGAAAGCAGAGAGAAGAAGCAGACAAAAAAAAAAAAAAGAAAGAAACACAGCTCAACCACGAATACATATACAAACACCGTAACGCATACAAAGAAAGTAATTTAAAATACAAACGTGGACAATAACAGCAACAGCGACAGAGGCAGAGGCAGAGGCAGAGACTGAAGCAGCGGCACTGGCAGAGGGGAGCGCAACAGTTGGCTGGAACAAGGGAGCAGCAAACGGCAACAACAATAACAACAACAGCAAGTGAGTGATACATAAAACTATCGACAACCGATAGCTTGGTTTGCTGCCAAATGTCATTGCCATAAAATAGTAGCCAATCAGAAATTCGCAACGGTAAATTGCATACCATTGGAATGCACTGGAATTCGGGTACATTTGCATTGCCGTTGCCGGCAAAGGGAGTGAGCGAGGGAGAGGTAGAGCGACAGAGAGGGAGAGAGAGCAAACGAAGAGCGATCTGACGGTAGCTTAGGGCGCTGAAAAGAGATGCCACTAGCTGCATTCTCAATAGATTTGATTTGCGCGCTTTGCATTGAATTCTAGTGTCATAAATCCCATTGCAATGAGCTCATCTCTGAGCGAAACAAAAATAGAAATATTTTGGCAATCGATCTGCTTCTAATTATTGTTACAGTAGACACTCGATAGCTGCGATTATACATATACTAAACTACATATATTAAATTGAATTACTAAATTTGTATTAGAAAGAATAAATCATAATGCAATTATTACATCAACTAAGAAATATACAAGATTTCAATTTAGACTCCAGCTGATAATGGTTCCACGATTAAAAAATTCAAGTTTAAAGTTCTGGAACCTGTTCTTACGGTTCTTCTTGTTCTATGGCCAGATTTTATGTTGATTGGTTTATTATTTATTTTGGTTCGATTTCAGATTATTGTCTCTAACGGTGCTTTTTTCTGTTCCCCCCCCAGTTGCATAACCTAACGGTCGCTGCACAGTTGGGAATGGGCGTGTGGGCGTGGCACTAGCTACGACGACTTTGAAAACGCAGCTTGAATTGGCTTTTCTGCAGCAATCCAATGGGAATGGGGTGATCGAGCTGTTCTAGCTGGGGGCGTGGCATTCGCATTTCGTTTTGGCAAATCATGTCCAGAACGCCGCTTGCAACGGTATAAAAGCCAAACAGTTAAGCGTGCAGAAATATTAAAAAGAAGCAAAGCAAAGCAGCAAAAAAGGCTAAAGTAGCTTAAAAAAAGCTGAAAAAAATTGGTAGAAGTAACACAAAAAAAAATAAAGCAACAAAAAACTGGTTCCGGCTGCCAAAGAATTCCGCATTCGAATTGCTTCGACGAACGCGCGTCGCTCGCTCTCTCCTCTCCTACTCTCTCTCTCTCTCTCTCTCTATCCCTCGCTCTTTCTCTGTTTGTGTGTGTGCCACTTCCGTATATAACGTGCATAGCTAAGGCAACAACAACAACAACAACAACAGTATAATAATAATAACAGAAAGAGCAACAGTTGCTGTTGCCTCTCTCAACATTCTTGGTTCACGTTCGTTGCCTAAGTCTTTTGTTTTTCTTTCTTTCACCCCGCTTCATGCCTCTGCGCTCTGAGCAGCCTCTGCAGAGGCGTAGCACAAGTGCATAACAAAGAGAGGCACACAGAGGAGTGCCACACACACACACGAACGCACACACACGTGTACGCACATACACATATATTTATTTGCATATCTATGTGTGTGTATAGAGTAAGAGCTGTTGTGCATGCTAATGTGACAAAGATGTTAATTGGCTTTTACTTTACTCAAACAAAATACTTAGTCACAGTGAAATACAACAACAAAGAGCAACAGCAACAACAACAACAAAGCAATCAAACAACACACAAATCCATCAAAGTGAAATTTAATTTCAGTTGTCGCGCCATTTCATTTGCATAGCTATTTGCTGTCTCTTGTCTGTCTGTCTTCTTCTTCTTCTTTCATGGTCTCTCCATGCTTATCGATAGCTGATCGATAACGTAAACATTCCAATATAGTTATCAATAGTTTAATCGTATTGCTAACCGAAGAACAGATTAATATAGTTTGCTGAGTACATGTGCCTATCGAAACGGTTATCGATTGTCATTCGATAACAAATAGATACATTTATGTATGGGTTTTATTGATAATATATAATATGTCCCTTGCTCATCTAATATAACTGTTCGTTGGTATTTGTCGTTGGAGTTATCGATAACTGGTCGATGACATACATTCACTAAAATGATCGTTACCCATAAGTTACTTGTATTGTTTCCTAACTACTAGACGATTTTGCTGTTGCTGAGTCGTTGTCGCATATAGCTGACAGATTTGTCGATAACCGATATTGCTCTAAACGTTTATCGATAAACAATCGATATTATTGACTACCAAAAGCGCCCACTCATTGCACGTTTTTGTAGTTACGACTAATTTGCATCTCTCGTGATGCCAGTCTATCGATAAATGATCGATATACGTTTTGTGTGTTGCCAATTGCTCATGCGCCAACAATTTGCAGCTGCTTGTGTGTGGGGGCGTACACGCCCCTTTTTCAATGCAATTCAATTGCCACACTGTGGCGGTGGAGTCCGCGTGTCGCGTCAGTTGTGTTGTGGGTGCGCCACAGACAAACAACAACAACAACAACAAACGGAGTTGAACCTCAGCGGCGCACCTCAAAACAACAAAGAGATAACAGCAAATAGCAACACGAATGCATTTTAGAATAATTTCATGACTTTGGCGACAAACAACAACTAGACAACTACAACAACAACAACAAGAAACATCAGCAGCAGCAGCAGCAGCAGAGATCTGCAGTTGTCGTCTCGCACTTTCAATTGTCTTGGAAAAAAGCAAAACAAAAGCAAAACTTCTTTGAAAATTTCCCTTTTTTTTACCTATGGTATGGCCCTGCTGCTGTTGCTGCTGCTGTTGCTGTATGTGTGTGCGCGATCGATGAGCAACAACAGCAACGGCAACAACAACAACATCATTTGTAGCACAAACTTTTGGCGCTGGCTTGCTGCGACGCTGTCTCTGGCAAAAGGTTTATTGGCCTTTTGGCTCACTGCGCTGTCATTATGTGTGTGTGTGTGTGCGTGTGTTTTAGCCAAGCTTGCTGAGTATTTGGCTTGGCCCTTGTGTTAGTGAAATCGACTTCGAGTTTGAGTTCGACTTTGGCTTCGACTTTGGCTTCTTGCTAAAAAGTATTTCTTTCTTTCTACAATGAAATTTTCTATTTGTGCGAGTACAACAAATCGTGAGGTCGCCTAAAAGAGAGAGAGAGGGAGAATGAGAGAGAGAGAGAGAGGGAAATTGAAGGAGACTGGGTGAACATTAAGCGGCTTACTTCGCTAACAAATAATGATAATAATATGTGACTAGGCAGCGAGGCTTACGAGCTGCCCAATAATAATCGAATCGTCTGTGAAGAACAGCAAGAAGAAGATGAGGATGATGAAGACTAATATAAAAGGAGCAGTAAAAGAGGTGATAAATCAAGTTGGCAAAGCTGCTGCAGCAGGGGGGTTGGAGAAAAGGTAGAAACAGAAGAGGAAGAAGCTGGAGGAATGTAAAGTACGAGTGGGAGAAGAAGCATGAGAGAGCGTAATAAAACAGTAGAATCAAGACAAAAAGGGGGGAAGGAGCTAGAATAGCTGAATGCATTACCAAATATTAGAGATAATTTAATATTATGTAAAATACATCTATGATAGTAAAAAAGTTTATTACAATTAAAGAACAATCCTTTAATATACAAAATTGATAAAGACTTAGGCAACGAACTTGGCTAAGAGACTTAGATGGTTAACGTGTTATTTGGGTAATGTGTTATTATAATGTAGAGTTTAATTGATCATGATATATGACTTATATAACAAAAGTAGAGTTTTGGTTGCCTATGATAATTTAAAATGCAAAATATCGAAATCGATTATCGATAAGCTATCTATTGCAGAAAATAGTCGTGAAATAGGCGCTGTTACATGAAGACTTGCAGTATCTACCTATAGTAGAACGCCTAGACATAGAGATAGAGATATACATTTGTCATTTATCGATAACAATAAATTTGATAAGAGAACTATTTGTCACACTATAATACCTGGTACAGGGCAAGCCTTAGACGAGCTCGAGTTGTATGAAATTCAAGGTAAATTCCTCCACAAACGCTTGTAGACGGCTTGGAATGTGTGCTGGGCGGGCTGGGCGTGGCACTTGTGGAGTGCCCAAACAGCTTAATTTGAAAACGAATTGAAAACAAATTGAAGTAAAACGCAAAGCGTTGCGCTTCAGTTACTTCCTCTGCACAAAGAGAAATGCAATGGAGCAGCGTGTTAAATGTTAAACATTAAATGCTAAAGAAAACAAAAAAAAAAAAAAAAAAAATATAGTGAAATAGAAAATACTGTAAAAAAATAAGAAGCAAACAAAAGTTGAAAGTAAAATGAACAATAAATTAAATAAATTGCAGTTCGACAAACTGTTTCAATTAAAGTCGACATCGAAATTGATAGCCAAATCACAAGTGTGCGTGTGTGTGTGTGTGCGTGTGTTTGTTGTGCGTGCCATAAAAATGGAAATGAATTGGCAAAACCGAAATCAGTTTCTGTTCATCTCACGCAGATCTTGTCAAGAGTTTCACTCGTCGTGTTGGCGGCTGCGCCTCGTCGTGCTTGCCGCATGAAGTAAATCCCTCTACACACACACACAACACACACACACATCACACACACATACACGCACACAGACGAGCCATGCTTGGAATCTGGCACTTGGCAGCTGGCTGCGTTTTCAGCTATGCCAAGAATTTATGGCACTAAAATCAATTTAATATTAAAGCTGACAATAAAAAAAAAAAACAAGCCACAGCTCTCTAGGGAATTATGCTCGACTAACAGTTACCTTAAAAGCCCAGTTCGAGTGTTGCGCTTCATTGGAGTCTTTATGAGTCAAAGCAGCTAAGAATCAACTGCAGTATATAATACTACTATATACTGCTACTATACTATATACTACTACTATACTATAGCTACTACTATATACTACTACTATACTATATGCTACTACTATATACTACTACTATACTATATGCTACTACTATAT